ATTTGAAAAGCACTTAATGAAAGATAAGCTCAATTTCTTCCCCTCTCCTCATGCTCTCACCTCTAGGTAAGATATAAGGCCTTCTGGGCAAGTGTCTGATGACGCATCAGTGCCTAAAATTAATGAAAAAGGCAGGCAAACTTGCAGAAAGAATTTAATAATGTTCAGCTTGTGAAATGGAAGATCATTCCCTTAGAGCACAGTATCCTCTCTCTCTCTCTCTCTCTCTCTCTCTCTCTCTCTCTCTCTCTCTCTCTCTCTCTCTCTCTCCACACTCCATATTGGGTTTGGACATTTTATTGGACAAAATAATGATTTCTAGCTGTGTAGCGATGGGCTCTTTCTTCCCACTGAGCCACAGGGTCCTGCTGAGGCTGGAGAGCACTGTGTCTGTGGGCCAGGTGAGCTCCTTGCTCTTGCTCCTGGAAGCCTGCCTTTCTCCTAGCGGTGGCAGTGACAGGTGGGGCCAGGTGAGCGTCCTTCTTGGTGCAGGAGGCCCAGGCTTACCGGTTGATACAGAGTGTGGGCACTCTCTGCCACCGTGATTCCTGTCAAGCGCAGGCCGCCAGCTGGCGCTGGGCTGCTTCTGGCAGTTACAGGGAGACCGACTTTCTGTTGTGAAGCTTCAGGTGCATCTGCCGGTGGGGAAAGAGCAACAGGCACCGTTGTGGGAACTGGGACCTGGGGACTTGTGGGCTCTCACCCAGCGCAGAGCCTGAAACGAAAGTGCTTTCAGTGCTCTCCAGGAGAAAAGAGCTTCAGGAGAAATGTGCACTCTCCTGGGGCCACTGGGGCCACCTGGCTTTCCCGCCAGGCTCTTCCCACCTGCTCACCCCCAGGGAGAAAGGCATGTGCCCACGGCGGCTCCCCTGCTGTTTGCTTTCACATTCGTTCAGGTTCAGCTTCTGGGTATAAAGTAGAAACATGAGTAGGGACGCGAGGAGAATGAGTTACTCTGAAAAGTGTGTTGACAAACAAGGGAGTCAGAGACTATGTCCGATTTGTTTTTTATTTCCCCAACATTGATCCCTTCCGTTGCTCAGAGATTTGCATGGCTTATGGGATGAAAACTTGGTTGTAGGTACCTTTGCTGCGAGCCGGTACTCTTTGCTATGAGCACTGTGATATCAGCCAATTATTTGAAAGTGATTTCCCTTGAAACATGACGCAGAATCTATGTGCTGTAACAGTCCCTTTCCATAGTGAGGGCTTACTGTAGGCCCAAGACCTGCTGACGCTTGAATGCTGCTGTGCCCCATGGGGTCAGGGGGCGGGGTTTGACTCATCAGAGATGAAATGTGACTGCCCTGTGTTTCTTCCTCGTCCTCAGAATCAGCTTTCTGAAGGCCTAGTTTCGGAGGAGGGTTTTTTGTTTGTTTGTTTGTTTGTTTTTCAAGTACTAAGTAGTTGGGACCTGGCTAGTGTGGGGTGCGCTGCGGTGAAGCTGCAGGAGAAAGAGGCTGTGGTCATGGCCCTTGGGATGCTGTTTTCTGGGAAGAGAGAGATGCCGTCCTTAGGACCACAGTGTGGTGCAGGTGTGGAAGGGCTGTGGTTGTTTGGAGAAGAATAGAATCCCCCACAGAAGGAATTAGGGAAGACTACAAGTGAAGGAGTTGGGTTTGAACTCCGCCTTGAGACCTGGATAGGAATTTGGTGGGAAGAGATGGGAGTGGAGAGACCATCCCAGGTGGAGAGAAGCACGAGGAGAAGAAGAGAGGGATGGGTTGGAATTGGGGGTCAGTGAGCTTGCCAGGGCGTGGGCTAGAAGGGAAGGAGGCCCTCCCTGGAGACCCTGGAATGCCAGCCCAGGACTGTGGGTGACTCTGGCCTGACTGCCTTGTAATGTTTTAGAGCACATGTGTCAAACACAAGGCCCGCGGGCCAAATCCGTCCCGCCAGGCCTTGCAATGTGGCACCACGCTGTCATCACTGCACTCTGCTGCGTTTCCATCACAATGACAGTTTATGACTGTTCAGTAAACCATTCGGCCCACGATTTAGGCTGGATTTTAGATTTTGGCCCCTTCTCTGATTGAGTTCGACACCCCTATTTTAGAGTAACCACCACAGCCCTTTCTTTCCCAGGCAAATAGAGTGGGAACAGAATACGTTCTTTCACAGAGAAACTGGGAGTTCTTAGAAAGTTTTCCCTGGGTCATTTCCAGTTGTTTGGGGCCCTCTCTTCACTTTCCCTCCGTGGGGAAATGCAGCAATTAGGCAGGTAGTGGGAGGGTCAGAACATTTTGTCCCCGATGTAGGCAGCAGCCTCAGGATACCGTAGATCGTTTTGATAGACGAGCTTAAAAAGTAGAGATCACTTCCCCAATCAAAATGAACTGGATGTGTTTCTGTTATGTGTAGCATACAATTATGTCTGAATGCTCTACATTATTGATTTGGCTGAATGCTCTTAGACATGCTATCTTGTTTGTTCTGAGGACTTTTTTCTGATTGCAAATACTCAGCCTAAGTTAATATTTCATGAGAATCAATCATAACTTGAGTATAGAACTATGATGGAAGTCATGGCTACTGGTAGAAAGAAAACAAACAAACAAACAAAAAAACAACCACAAGATAACTGTGCTGCACTCAGGCCAGTTTAGACGGAGAAACACAAAGCTCTATTCAAGCACTAGTCCCATTTCCTGTCTTTGCCATCCTATGGGTAATGATGAACTTTAACCAGTTTACCAACTCTTTAGGCTATTGCCCTCCAAAGACCATATTAATGCACTGGTTTGATTGACTTACAAAGTGTTATCATACCCACGTATTGACTTGAGTAAGAACTGTACAAATATGAAGACACTCATCCAAACAGCATGTGAAGTAGATATTATGATTATTCCTATTTTGCTGACAGGACAATCAAGGCACATTGAAGTGAAGTAATTTGCCCAAAGTCACAGACATTGCCGCTTTAGCAAGCCTGTGAATTGGAGGTTGGGCTTGGAATCACCTGTACAAAAAGGACACAAAACCCGTGTGCTCTGTGACAGAAGTTCATTCTTGGGACTTTGATACAAGCTTCTTTTCTACCGTCGGTCAGTAGTTGTCATTCCAGAAGCTCAGCATTTTAAATGTTTGAAAGTGAACGATTTCTGTGTGTATACATCAAACACATAAACTATACCAGAGCCAGGGCTTGCACATGTAAATATCTGTGTTTTCCGATGGTCTTAGGCTCTACAGCAGCGGTTCTCAACATGTGGGTCGCCTAAGACCATCGGAAAACACGGATATTTACATTACAATTCATAACAGTAGCAAAATTACAGTTACGAAGTAGCAACAAAAATAATTTTATGGTTGGGGGGGGGGGGTCACCACAACATGAGGAACTGTATTAAAGGGTTGCGGCATTAGAAAGGTTGAGAACCACTGGAATAAGAAATGATATTGTCTATTTGCCCAGCACCCTGCTAGGCATATTTTTGTTTAATCCTCCCAACAACCCAGAAGGCAGGTCCTGTGAATATCTCCTTACACAGAGAGGGCAGCTGAGGCCCCGAGAGGCATAGTAACGGAGCACATGGCATACAGCAGGAAGCAGCAGGGCGGCAACTTGACCCTGGACTTGTTTCCTGAGCCTCTGGTCTTGAGCCCTGTGCAGGCCACCTGCCTTGTGCCATGGCACCCCCTGCTGGTCCCTGACCCTCCTCGCTGGCAGCAGCCTGCTCTCCGGGCTGGCTGGCCCTGCTGACTGCTGCTGACTCTTGTCAACGTTGAACAGCTGATCAGTATAAATTTCTTGTAGGCATTCTGATTCCTATCTTTATAAGACCCTGTTCCTTGCCTTTGCTGTACAGCAAACATGTGAAGAGTCTGATTTCACCCATTGTTCTTCCATCATCAACCTTACACCCAGCCCGAGTTCAGCATCTGCTGAATACCACTCCATCCTGCGTGAGGGAAGCAAGAATGTGCCCAGGGGTGGGTGGGCAGAGGGACCCTGACACAGTGGATCCTGACATCGAATGTGGAGGGGAGTCCGTGCTTATGATGTCACGTGAGCTGCTCATGAGGCGCCTCACGGAGTCTCTGCACCTATTTGCAATATGTTCTCTTACTTTCAGACAATACTTCTTTTTATAATTTTTAAAAAATTTTCTATTGATTTTTTACAAAGAGGAAGGGAGAGGGAGAGAGAGCTAGAAACGTCGATGAGAGAGAAACATCAACCAGCTGCCTCCTGGGCACCCCCTTCCGGGGATGTGCCCGCAACCAATATACATGCCCTTGACCGGAATCGAACCTGGGACCTTTCATTCCGCAGACCGGCACTCTACCCACTGAGCCAAATTGGTTTCGGCCAGACAGTATTTTTTTTTCTGCATCAGTCATGGCGTCCCTGTCTGGGACGTGCCTTTGGTGAATGAGTGAATGAACAAGGAACTGGATGCATGAATCGTTCGTCGCTTGGTTCCCTTGATTAAACGGCCTCCTCTGGGGCCCTGGGATGCCTTGCTACTTAGGATTGTATTTCCTCCACCTGGCTCTTCCCCCTGCATGCCTGAACCCTCTTCCCGCCCCGCTGTCCCCGGCTCTCCATCTCCATGTCAGTCCAGAGCGTGGCAAGAACTGTTCTTTTAGGAAGTGCTACAGGTGGTATGAGGGTCAAGAGTTTTAGAATAAAACCATACTGCAGGGAAATCAGGAGTTCACTCAGCTTTTTAGGGACTCCAGTAACCATGTCTGATATTCATGGAGGGACATTCTGATTCCTAAACAGACTTTAGGGCAACCCACTAGGGACTGGGGTGTTTGAGAAGCTCATCGTACAAGCACACGCAGTGGAATGTGTTCCACATCCTGACTTGGTTGTTTCATTGAAATGCTCGATTGAAAAATACAGTGTTAACGGAAACTCCATTTGTGGGACCAGCGATGGATTCCCAGGGGATTTTGTTTTCCGGTTGGAGTTTGAAACTGGTGCATATCGTCCATGTCAGGACAGGGTGCCCGTTAAGTGGCTTTCCTTTCTGTGTCTCCGACAGACGTGTCCTCCCCACACCAGCGGGCCTCTGCCAAGATGAAGCCAATAGAAGAAGGGGCGGAAGACGATGACGAAGTCTTTGAACCCGCGTCACCCAAAGCATTTAAAGTCCGTGAGTTGCCTTGATCAGAGAGAAGAGCCAGGTTACCGAGATGGAAATGGTCTTGAAGATATCCTGAAAAATACCAGCACTTTATCACTCACTGCTTTTAGATTATTCCTCTTTAGGGCATCGGGATGGTACAGTCTGAGGAGGGCAGAGAAGTGAGGAAGAGTCGAAAGTCAGAAGGCTGTTTTAGCTCTCTCTTTTTTTTTTTTTATGGGTCAGCTTTTTTTTTTTTTTTAATATATTTTATTGATTTTTGTACAGAGAGGAAGGGAGAGAAATAGAGAGTAAGAAACATCAATGAGAGAGAGTCATCGATCAGCTGCCTCTTGCATACTCTCTACTGGGGATATGCCCACAACCAAGGTACATGCCCTTGACCGGAATCAAACCCGGGGTCTTTCAGTCCCCAAGCCGACGCTCTATCCATTGAGCCAAACCGGTCCCAGCTATTGGTCAGCTTTTTAAGTGGTTGCTTTCCTGAGCCTTCTGACTAAATCTAGTTCTATTTTGAGATACATATTTTCACAGTATTTTCTAGATACACTATCCTTTTAACTTTGAAAGCCTTAGTGTCCTGTCCATTCAAATGCCTCCCCACTTACTTTTCAAGGCTGTGGTTCATTTTGCTCACGGGCCGTTTTTTCTCTGTCATGGCGATGGCGTTGTCTATTCGATAGCTTTATCACACAATGCAAGTTTGAAATGGAGATTGCAAGTGGCATTAAAAAGCAGGGAATCTCAGGCTTTGCTCAGTCAACTTTTTAGATGGAAAATTTTAAACAAAGACGTGATTCGACTGGTGTTTATTTTTCTACCGGGCCATATACATTACCCCACTAGATTGCCTTCCGTGGACGTTGGTTAGATAGCTTGATACTGAACAAAGCATCAGACTTTGCTCACATTACCCTTGCATTATGCTAGTCGTACATTAGAACTGAAACCTAACGCTGGGAAGATAAACAGACGGAAGTGGTTCTGAGCCCGGTGTCAGCCTTCAGCCACTCACCTGGGGCTCGGAGCCTTCTCACCCACACATCTGGGGTGGAAACACTTCACTTGAGGCCGAGAGGAGAGGAGCGTCAGGTGGCACAGAGCAGCTCCATCCTCGGGTCAGGATTCTGAAGTTTCAGGTTGTCCTTCCAGCCGTCAATGTCTCTTTAACAGATACCGAGGACCATGGGGCAGAGGTTAGCCATGGGCCGTACCATGAACACCCAGCCTGGCTACTGTCGTGAGGGCCTTGATTCCACTCTCCTTTCCACCAGAACCGTGTTTTAGGACATGGTGGTGTTTGGCTGGTGAGGAACGAGGAGCTGGCTTGACTCACGGTCAGTCTGGTGGGTGTGAGTCCCTTGGGCGGAGTCCCTTGACCGGCTGTGCGGCTTCATACCCATCAGTGTTTTGTCTCATCCCCTAGGACAGTGGTCGGCAAACTCAGTCAACAGAGCCAAACATCAACAGTACAATGACTGGAATTTCTTTTGAGAGCCAAGTTTTTTAAACTTAAACTATGTAGGTAGGTACATTGTTATTAACTTAATTAGGGTATGTGGTGTTTTGCAGACGAGCCACACTCAAGGGGCCAAAGAGCCGCATGTGGCCCTCGAGCCGCAGTTTGCCGACCACGGTCCTAGAACCAGCGTTGAGTAGGTTCCCTGTTAGAGTGACCTGGTAAGGAAAGTTCAAATGGAACTGTTTTCAGATGAGTTGAGCCAAAAGAAGCACCTCTTGCCAAGGAGTAATATCTGTTAGAGAAGGAAAATAAGCTGCCCTGTCATTTTCCTAGGCCTTTTTTTTTTAAAAATTAAAGCCAATTATTTTAGTCCTTTCACTCGAGTATGTTTACATGCCGGGTCCTCTTGGAGAGAACATGCATAGACGGGGACTCCAGCTCCCAGCGGCTCCCTCCAGGGTTTGCACAGCCACATCCCCACTGAAAGGCTGACTGCGCTCTGCTCCCCTCGCCTCTCTCCAGCGCCTTAAGGTGACCAGACGTCCTGCTTTTGGTGGGACAGTCCTGATTTTTAACAATTTGTCCCGAGTCGTTTTAAAAAAGTCCCGATTTGGGGCGGGGGGGGTGGGGGGTGGGGGGGGAAACGCTGCAGGACAAATTGTTAAAAATCGGGACTGTCCCGCCAAAAGCAGGACATCTGGTCACCTTACCTTAGAGATTTGTTTTGGGGAAATGAAGCAGAGGGGAACGGCCGAGCGTGGCTTTAAGACGTAATATTTATTGGGTTGAACACACATGCCTGTGCCTGAGCTCACCCGTGTTGCTGTGAGGGGATGGCGTTAACACTGTTCCCCTCGCCGGTTGGGTCAGGCCGAGGAGACCCTTGAGGTCCCACGTGCATAAGAGTAGTGACAGGGTCAACCCACAGAGCCCTTAGACATGATGTCCGCCCTGAGGAGACAGTAGTTGTAGGTTCCGCTGAGGCCGCACTTCCTTGTTCTGTGGGCGCACAGAGCCTTGGCCTTGGGGCACACAGAGCCTTGGCCTTGGGATCCCGGACCCCAGCCCCCTTGAGGTTTGTCTCACGTGCTCCCCTCAGACAGGGAGGGTCTCTAATGCTCAACCCGGACGAGTTGGGAGGTTCCTTTCAAAAGCACACTGCTGACATCAGGTGACAGGGAGTCATTAACTGCTTTTACTAAAATGTGTGTTGTGCAAGCGTGTGCATGTGCATCCTGTCATGGATAAGAAGACTGACCTCAAGATTAGGGATTTTAAAGAGCCACTTAGCCTGAAAGGGACACGTGAAACTTTTTAAATACAGCCCTATAAGGAACACCACGTGCCTAAGCGGGGGTGGGGGTGGGAGGGGGAAGGAGCCAGGCCACTGAGAGGCCGTCCCACAGAGACGGGCAGCAGCTAAGGAGACAGGAAAGCGCTCTGGGTGTAAGCTCTCTGGAGGACTCAATCACTCACTAATATACAAACGAACAGCGCGTCTTTGGATGAGGCATACATGCAGAGCCAAAAACATGTTATGTTCGTTGCCAAAGCCGCCAGATAAGATGCTTCCTCTGATTTCGGTATTCCCTTGTGTGACCAAGGTTCAGAAAATGGTCTGCAAAAATGACTCTATAGATCACCCCACATCTATGTTCAAGTGTAACATCAAGTCTGTTGTGTGAATCTGGAGTGTTACATTCACACCAGAATGTATGTGTCATTTTGTAATATTTTGGAGCCCTCCTAAGTATTTGTATGTATAAAATAATAGCACAGACACTAGATAGATCCTCGATGACGTTTATGTATCTTAAACTGTAATAACGGGTGCTATCTCATTGTTTTGTGGTTGCCATCCTTTGCTTTCCGGGGTCTCTCCATGGCCCCCTACGGTTCGGTTCCGCCTGAGTCCCTTCGCCACCAGCAGCGTCCGCACTCGGAGACCTCCCCTTCTTCCCGCGGTTCTCCAGCCGCGGGTGTGAAGCGTCTCTGGCTGTATATCGATAACTTGCAGCTGCTGATCCCCAGGCTCTGTCTTGGCCCGAGAACAGAGTAACTTGGATGCTGGGAAAACCTGCACACCCCGCCCTGTTCCTGGGGCGCAGGACGTGACTCCGCCCTCCGGGGAAGATTCTCCTGCCGGTGTGTGTATGTGTGTGTGTGTGTGTGTGTGTGTGTGTGTGTGTGGTGGCCCAGCCGGGAACATGGTCAGGTCTGGCCTTCAGGTCCTGGTGCCCTCCTCCCTGCAGACCCCAGGCTGCAGCTCCGAGGAGCCACTGGCTTTGTGTTATGTGTGTGTTTTTATTGTCTTCATTTCCTTGGTCGTCTCTAAACCTGCTCTGTAGGAACCTCTGGCCTAGCCATGCCTCGGGGTCCCCTCCCCTCCCTGTGTCCGACCCTGATTTCCCAGCCAGTTTTCCTGATTATCCTCAACTAGAGTGACTAGCGGTTCCCACCTATTCCGTCCCAATCCCCAAGGGTTTGAAAGGCCAGGATGCTGTGTAGGGAGCTGGAGGTCGCCGTGGAATCTCGGCTTCAGTTCTGCTCTTCTGCTCGAGGGACGGCCCAGTCTCCCTGAGGACAGCCATGCCTTGGTTGTCACAGAGCCCCAGATGCCTCGTGCGTGCAGGATGACAGATTGGAAGTGTCGCTTAAGAAACTTGCTTTTAAGTACTACTTGCAGGAACTGTTAAACTTACTTGCAACCTGGTTTTAAAGTACGCGAGGATTTTATGAATGCTTTATATAGTCACATTTATAATAAATTTACATTTTGTCCGAATAAAGCCGTATCGTTTAAAATATCTTCATATATTGTCATTTAATCAAATAAACTTCTTACTGAAAAAAAAATATGTGTATGTTCTTTTCATTCTTCTTACTTATACAGTTTCATAAGATTCCACAGCACAGGGGGGTCACAGGAAGGGGGAGGGGACCTCCCCCCCCCCCACCCTGGAGCTATTCTGTGGTGGGCAGGAGGGACCCACCTTTCTGTGCTTGAAGGAATGCACTTTTCTTCCATTGACTGTCCTAAATGCACTGGGGAGGTGGGGAGGGGCATCCCTCAGCCTGGCCTATGCCCTCTCACAGTCCAGGATCCCAATGGAGGTGTCCGACTGCCGGCTTAGGCCCGCTCCCCTAGGCCAGCAGCCGGACATTCCGCTAAGGGTCCTTAGCACTGCTGTGGAGATGGGAAAGGCTCTTGCCACCGATGCATGCTCGCCAGTGGTGAGCCCAGCTTCTGGCCTAGTGGTGCTCCCCCTGTGGAGAGCACCACTAGGCCAGAAGCTGGGCTCCTGTGTTGAGCATCTGCCCCCTGGTGGTCACTGTATGTCATAATGACTGGCTGTTCTGCCTTTCAGTCGATTTGCATAGTAGGGTTTTATTATATAGGATGTGGTGGTGGTGGTGGTGCGGGGGCTAATAACATGTTGCCCCCAACAGATTTTTTTTTTATCTATGTTGTCCATCTCAACCACCCTCCTAGCTCAAAGCAACCCTAAAGCAGGACCTGGGGGGGAAAGGCGGAGCTTCGCCTCCCCCCATGTGGCTCTGAGGTCAGACAAATGCATTTCTGAACACTCTCTACCCGTGGATCTTCAGCAGGTTGTTAACCATCCTGCCCTCCGCCCCCATGGCTTCGTGTCCCCAGCTGCACTCTAGATCCTTTCCCCACACAGCTGGCGCTCGCTGAGTGTTAGTTCTCGCCCCTTTTCCTTTGGTTGCCAAGTTGGGTCCTTAAGGCTTTGGCAACCACAGCCCTTGTAAA